TCTCTCTGTCGTAGTCTGAGAAGTCAGGTGGCGAGAGGGTGAGAAGAGATGGTGGACTTAGAAGAGGAAGAAGAAGAACTCTCTCTCTCTCTGTCCAGTACTAACCTGTGAAGTTGGCGCCTTGATGCAGGTACCACAAAGATGGAGTTGGAGCGATGGCGCCACAGGTAAGTATCACTGCCCTCCGCTAGTATCTCTCCCACTCTACGATCTACCACCTACCAGCGCCCAACGTTGAAGACTACAACTACAGCTATGGCGCCCAGCGCTGAAGACTACAACTACAGCTATGGCGCCCAACGCCGAAGACTACAGCTAGCGCTAATACCACCTAGCGCTGAAGACTACTGCAGCGCTCCTCCTGAGTGCTGCGGCCGAAATCCTGAAGACTACCCGTGCCTACTGACAACTACCTACCCGTGAAGTGCATGGGAACTTCCTATATACTACCGGGTGTGCCTCTTGAGCCCGCCGAAGGGAGGCAGGGGCTGCAACTGCAGCTCCTACTCAAACTCGTGAGGAACAGGCTATTTCTGGCCTGTTCCGCATCCCTGTTTACGTGCCTGAGTCTTAAGGGCGGTTGAAACAATGAGGGCCTGAAAATGGCCCTCTGTTTCAGGCTGGAAAACCTCTGGGTCTGAAAAACCCAGAAATAGGCTGAAACGGAGTAGGGCCTGCAGGCCCTCGTTTTTTAGCTTTCAGGCTGAAACGAACGGGGCCTGTAAGTCCTAAGTTTTAGGCTTTTAGGCTGAATGTCCGGGACGGGCCCTGCAGGGCCCGTGTGGCTACGCAGTATGCCACACCCCCCCCTCCTTGAAGAACCGAGCTTACCTGCGAGGGCGAAGCTGTCTGTCTGAGGGAGGGACCACAGTCCGGGTGGGAGGGGCTGGTCGTGAAGCTTCCTGAGCTAACCTCCGACTTTCATAATGTGCGTAGATCAGCGGTGCGGATGCTTTCAAATCTGCGCCTGAAATCGACCGAGTGTCGTCACGATCGCATGCTTTGAATGTGACTTTGTACTGCCGCGGCTTGCTGCCGTACTTGCGATCGGTGATGACGCGGTCAACTTCCTGATGACCATCCATAGAAGGAGGGTCCTGCGATCGTCGGTCCGGAAAGTCGTCGCTCTTGGCTGGCGTGTATGTTGCCAGTTTCGAGGCGTGGAAGACCGGATGGACCGTCAGATGCTCTGGAATGTTGATCACAAATGAAGGGCCATCGGGCTCATCGCCCGCGGCTGCTGTCACAGACCAAGGTCCAAACCACTTAGGAAGCAGTTTGCGTGAAACGTCCTGTTCCAGTGCAAACTCTTCCGTGGTGTTGGTGGGCTCGGGCCATACTCGTAGGGCCTCGATCTTGTCCGCAAGCGGACGGATGCCTTGCGGCGTCACATAATGTCCCAAGTACTCCAGCTCCTGCCATGCGAACTCGCACTTGTCGCGGTTTGCTTTGTACTTGGCCTGTCGTAGCCGCTCCAAAACGGTGCGCATGTGTTCCACATGCTCCTCCAAACTCCGGCTGTACACCAGGATGTCGTCGAGGTAGATGAGTACGTATCGATCCAGCATGTGTCGGAACTCCGTT